AGGGGAGGGCCCGGGGGATGGGGGAGGGCCCGAGGTAGGTGGGTTCCGGGGGGAGGGTCAAAGGTCGTTGGGGGACCCGGTGATCCCGGGGGAGGGTTGGTGGAGGGGTATGTTGTCCGGGCTCGGCGCGGCCCCGGGGGTCGAGTGACCGCCTGGCCCCGACTTCCCGACCCGCCAACCCGGCTGTGGCCCGGCCTGGGCTCGGGGAGGGGGCGCCCTGGGGGCCCCAGCGCTGGCCTAGAGTCCTGTGAGTGAGTCTTGCAGTCCTTAGGAGCTGTGTGGGGCCTGACAAGAGTGCAGGGGCAGGCCGATGAGAAGTACTCAGGATACACAGACCTACTGGTTAAAGGGAAAATGATTTCGTTTTTTGGCAAAAACACTCCTTTTTCTTTTCCCGTGGGTGGGAGGGAGCCGGTTTATTACAGAGGGACAGGAAAGACCGTTGATGTAGCAGGTGCCTTTTTGGAGAATTTAGGACTCAGAGTAAGTTGCCCAGTTTATGACAGGTTCAAGGTCCAGCAGTGTTTTCACTGTGCAGTGCCTGGAACTTGGGCCTCCTAGGAAAGCACTGTTCCTTCAGGAATAAACGATGAGGACATGGAGACACCAAGTTTTCTTTGTCTTGCAGAGCATGTACCTGGATTGGGAAGAAAAGACCATAATTCAAGGGACTAACTCAGTGTGGAGAAAGGCTCTTACACTCTAGATTTAGCCCTCACAGGTTGACACCAGTGACCCGATGAAAAGGTGAGAGGGTTCGTTTATTTTACAGATAAGGAAATGGAACTGTAAAATAAGTAGAAGTTGAGAAGATTTAGTTAAGTTTTATGTTAATCGGTGTTACTGAAGTTCCTATGGGAAAACATTCAAGAAGAGCCAGGAAAACATGGAAAATGAAAGGCCCTTCCAAACCTTGAAACAGACTTTAAAACCCCTGTGATTACAATGGTGTGGCACTGCCACACAGTGTCACAGTGGAATAGGGCAGAAAGCACAGAAATAGACCTGAAGCCGTGTGGAAATTTAGCATATGACAAAGATACCTCAAATCACAGGGGCCAGCATCAACTTTTAAATAACCGGTCCTAGGAGAGCTAGACCGCCGTGTTTTAAAAGATAAAATTTTGTCCATGTTTCACACCATACACAAGAAAAAATTCCAAATAAATTAAGGGTCTAGTGTAAAACCTGAGACTGTAGAAGGAGAGAGGGCAGTTCCTCTTTAATCTCAGTGTAGGGGAAAGGCAATAAGAGAAAAACCTGATGAATTTGACTCCATACAAGTTTTTTGTAATTTTGCACAGCATAAAAAGCCATACACAGTATTAGAAGACAACTGACAAATGAGATACTTGTAACATAAACCACAGACAAAGGGTCAATTTCTTTTAATAAAGAACTCTCAAAAGTTGGGTTACAGGGCAGTAAGCCACGAAAAATAATAACAGGCAACCAGACTGGAAAGAAAGAACTAAAACTATCTCTGCATATGACATGATTTTATATATAGGAAATCCCGAGGAATCTGGAAAAAAAAAGCTGTTAGAACTAATAAACTGGAGCTCAGCAAAGTTGTAGGATATGAGACCAATCTTCCAGCCTGGCACTATTCATACTGGACATATTTCTGGTTCTACAGCAGCTTCTTGGCCTTTGGATTCAAATTAGGACCATGGCCCTGGAGATTTTGCTGACCTCCATCATCACATGAGCCAGTTCTTTATCATAAGTCTGGAACCAATAGATAACTCCTGTTGGTTCCGTCAAGCTACATACACAGCTGACCCTCAAACAACCTGGGGACTAGGGGCACTGACCCCCCCCCACACACAGCTCTCCAAAAACTTTACTAAAAGCCTACCATTGACGGAAGCTTTACAGATAACATGCACAGCTGATGAACACCTAATTTGTGTATGTGTTATAGACTATTCTTACAATAAAGTAAGCTAGAGAAGAGAGTGTTATTAAAATCATAAGAGAAAATACATTTACAGTACTGGACTATATTTATTAAAGAAGATCTATGTGTAAGTGAACCCACGCAGTTCATGCCTATGTTTATTGGCCAACTAAAACAGGAGATAATATAGGTAGGAGATTTATATGTGTATCTTATGATATATATGTTATTAAGTATATATAATAGGTGTATATAACAAGATATAAATCGTACATAATAAGACTATATATATATATACACACACAGATCTCCTATTGATTCCCTTTCTCTAGAGAACCCTGACTAATACAGAGTTATCTAATAATGCAGATAGGCTCAAATTTGAAAAACAATTTCATTTGCAATAGCATAAAAAAAATACTTAGAAATAAATTTAACAAGTGTTAGAGTTCTGAAAACTACATGGCATTGTTGAAAGAAAGAAGATCTGTATAAATTAAAGGACATCCCATATTCATGGATTGGAAGACTTAATATTAACATAGCATTACTCCCTAAATTGATCTATAGAGTCAACACAATACCTATCAAATTGGCTTTTTTGCAAAAATTGACAAACTTATCCTAAAATTCTCATGGAAATGCAAGGAACCCAGAATAACCAAAACATTCTTGAAAGAAGAGGACAAAGTTGGAAAACTCACACTACTGAACTAGAAAAGTTACTACAAAGATACAGTAATCCAGACAGTGTGGTCCTGGCATAAGGACAGAAGGGTAGGTAAATGGCCTGGAATTGAGAGCCCAGAACTAAACCTTCACATTCATGGTCAGTTGATTTTCCTGAAAAAGAGTGCCAAGATGATTCTATAGGGAAAGAACAGTCTTTTCCAACAAACAGTGATGGGATATGGAAAACAAGGAAGTTGGACCCTTATGTAACACCATTTCAAAATTTAACTCAAAATAGATCAAAGGCCTAAATATAAGTGCTGAAACAAAACTCTCAGAAGAAAACATAGGCATAAATGTTTATCACCTTGGATTAGGCAGTGGTTCCTTAGTTACAACACCAAACACGCAAGCCACAAAAGAAAAGTAAATGGACTTCATCAAAATTAAACACATTAGTACGTTAAAGGACACCATCATATATCTGATAAGGGAATTGAATCCAGAATATATAAAGAACTCTTACAACTCCGCAATAAAAGAAGATAATCTATTTTAAAGCGGGCCAAAGACTTAAATATAGACAGGTCTCCACATAAGATACACAAATGGCTAATAAGCATATGAAAAGATGTCAGCATCATTAGTTAGTAGAGAAATGCAAACCACAACCACGAAGAGATACCACCTGCGCACACTCACGTGGCTATAGTCAGAAACACAGGAGAGTGTGGAGAAACGAGCCCTCATGCTCATGGGAACATGAGACGCTACAGCACGGATGGGCCTAGTGACAGGCCACACGAAAGGCCACATACTGTGTGGTCCCATTTATATGAAATGTCCAGAACAGGCAGACCCATAGAGACAGCAAGTAGATGAGTGGTTGCCTGGGGCTAGGAAGGAGGGGAGTGGAGTATGGGGTTTCTGTTTGGGGTGATGAAGATGTTCTAAAATTAGATTGAGATGGTAGTTGCCAAGCACTGTGAATGTACTAAAAACTGCGGAATTGTACGCTTTAAAAGGGTGAATTTAATGTCCATTCCATCTCTGTAAAATAAACAATAGTGTAAAAGAAAATCTATACGTATCTGCTCATTTCTGAAAGAAAAAAATGCAATACATATAAACTGGAAACAGACTTTGGGTCCCCTAGGGAAAAGGTGAGGACAGGGTCGGGGAGTGGGAAGGGAGTAGCCATGTGACGAGGGGAAGGTGGTGTTTCTTTGATGACACCGGTCTGGGTAGCTCTGACCCTCAGAAACATGCCAACATCTGCCTACACACGTGTGCACATACATGCAGCTAGGGTGTGGAAGGAAGCCGAAACAGTGCAAGCAGGGACAGAACGGAGCTGCGCTGGACGTGGCTACCAATCACCACGTGATTGGAGGGTGGAGAAGAAAAGGACCAACGTAAGTAACCAGAAAGCAGCATTTTGACTGTCTAAAGACTAAAACAGCTCTGCACTAATACGGCACTCCAGTAAGACATTTGTTTTTCATAGGGTTATAAATCAGTGTGAAACTACTTTATCTGTGTTCTAGAATTGAGCAAATAAGTAAATCGTAGATAATGAGAGTCCCGGTTTCTCACTGTCAGGAAAAACAAGTTACAAATAAGGAAGGAGTAAAGGTTGGAATGAACCCTGTTGTATTGCCTTGGAATTGGAAGTGTTGATATAAATTTGTGATTTTAAATATATATACAAATGGATAGAGAAAGAGAGATGTGTGTTACATACATGTACTTATGTTTCCTAGTTCTGTTCGTGAGAGGACCTAGAAGCAATGACCCTCTGTAGCAATGAAATCTAGCGTCCAAATCTTGGTTTCCAAATGTCATTTTCCAACAAAAAAATAGGGCTTCCAGCGTTGAGGCAGGAGCAAGATGGGCCTGGACTATCTCGTGGTGCCACAAGGTAAGGAAGTGATCCCAACAGAAGGGAGCATGTCAGAAGGGGAGCTTCTACTCCAAATTGGAGTACCCAGTGGCCAAAGCTTGGACCATTTGAGCAACAAAATAATAATTTAACTCTATAATCCATGAACTAAAATAAATATCCATAGTCCATGGTGATTGATAAATGAATAATGATAAATAACAAGAAAACAAGTAAACATAGCTCCTTATCCTATAATTCTAGTTAATAAATGTGGAAGGAACGACGGAAACCGAGAATCACCATTAGGCAAACATTGCACTTATAATCAGTGCAGGCAAGAACCGTTGATGGGGGCTAAAATCAGCAGGCAAAAGAATAAGAAACAAGAAGAACATTTTTGTGGTCTCAAAGTATCTCCCTACAAGATACTTAATAGACGTTAACATGGTGCACTATTACATAGATGTAATATGGGTGCACTAAAAAGGACACAAATTGTATATGTGGTACTCCTTCCTGCCAGAAAAATCAGGAAAACTTCAGTCATGAAGAAACAGCAAACCCAAATTGAGAGACATTCTATAAACACCTGACCAGCACTCTTCAGAAATCTCAAAGTCCTGGAAGCCCAAGAAACTTGGGGATTGGAGACAAAGAAGATGTGACAGGACAGTTAAGTACAGGTAGCTGTCTTCAATGGGCTTCTGGACCAGAGAGAGGGCCTTAGTGGGAAAACTGGTAGGCTTCAGGGAAGGCTTGTGTGGTAGGTGAAGGTGTGGTATGGACATTAGTTTCTTTCTTGGATACCTGTACTAAGATTATGTGAGATGCTGTTGGAAGTTAGATGAAGGGTATATGGGAAGTCCATTTTTGCAACGTTTCCTGTAAGATTAAAAGTAGTTCAAAAGAAAAGATTTAAAAAAAAATGTTCAGTAAATAAACTTGGTGGAAGCATGGAATGGGAGAGATCATCCTGTGAAAAAACTAGAAGTTTTAGTTGACCCAAGTGTAAGTCAATACACATTTAGTAACCACCCTAACCCACCTGTTACATCAGGCTCCTAACTGATCTCCCAGCGATCAAACTCTGCTACAACCTGGTCTCAGCAAACTTAGCTTCCTTAGGAAGAAAACATTCTCATCCTATCACTGTCTCTTAAAATTCCTTTGGTAAAAACCTGCCATCATAGGACACCGCTCCTCTCAGCGACCCTGTGCAGCCCTGTCGCTTTCCACTCCCTAGCACGGCGCCTTGTGCTTCTGTAGACCCCGGGGCACGGCTGACTGCAGAGCTGCCCTAATGTGCTGATGGGGAGAACGTTCTAGTCACCAGAATTCTTCCTGGGAAAGCACCATGTAGATAACTTTGTTTTTTTGTTTTTTTAAGAAGAAGAAATGCTTTGATAAGGCACTTGGGTTTTAGACCAAAAGCCACAGTAATAAAAAAATGGTCCCTAACCTGTTGTGCATAAGATGGTCAGAGAAGCTTCTGTTGCTTCCCAAAGGGAAGAGGTGTCCAATAGACTATGGCGGGGCTGACAAAGTTGCCCTGCACTTGAGGTGAGAGCTGGGGAGACAAGCCCCTGGAAGCCACAGCCAGGAAGAGGAGCTTGGGAAGCCTCCTCAGTTGTGAGCTGTTCCTCCCACCCGGCTCCCTGACGGAACGTCCGTGCTCCTTATCGCAGGGCCGTGGGAGTAGCTTCTTGGGGTTCACGTCGGCCTGCTGGGCATGGGCGAGAGGAGAGCGGCCGCCTGAACTGGAGGAGCCCCGTCAGCACTGGCCAGCTCTGCCACCTCAGTAAGGTGCTGGCCGTAGAGGCCATGACAGCAGTACTACCGTGAGGTTTTCACAGCATGGGAAACAGGTTTGGACACCACACGCGGCTGGCCCAAGCTCACTGCGTGGAGCTACTATGTGAAAGAAATCAGGATCTGCGAAACCAAGGCTCAGCCGCCTCTTCTGTCCCGGCAGTGTTCTCTCCACCTGCTCAGGTCCCCCGTGGCTGTCAGCCTGGACCATGTGTACCAGTGGCTTGCATCCTCAGTGCTCAGCGCTGGACCCGGGACGGCTCGAGTGCTGGGTGGATGTTGGTGAAGTCGGTGGGTGAAGGCTGGGTGATGAGCAAACTCAGTGGGAAAGCAATCAGTTGAATCTAGTAAAATCTCAAGCTCTGATGGAAGAGCCCAGGTCCAAGAGAAAAGACCCCTTGTATTCTTCACTGGTCAAACCGTAGCTGGAGTATGGAACCACGTTGAAGAGAGACTTGACAAACTAGGGAATATTCAGAAAAGGGTGGCTCCCTCAGCTCTAAGTAGTAGGTAGCCGTTCTAGAAATTTAAAAAGAAAAGTCATAACGTCACCAGGGAAACCCACTGATTCACATCCGTGATGCTGCGCTGGTTGCACACCTCCCCTGCAACAAATTGTGTGGAAATTTGCAAGTGGGTGGGGATGGGCAGGTTCAAAGAGGGAGTAGCAGAAATGAATAGAGTTTCCATTATCAAAAGTGAAACAAACACTGGATTCACTTATACGCTTGGTCTCATTCTTACATGCATAGACCCAAGACTTAATTTCCATCAGCACACCAAAATGTGATCCATTTGCCAAGACCTGCTGCTCTGAGCATGGTCCGTGACCCAACAACATCAGCACCACCTGGGACCCTGTCAGGCAGGCAGGGTCTCAGGCCCTCCCCAGAATCGGTATTTTTATCTTAACAGATCCCCAGGTGATTTGTATTCATATTAAAGTTCAGGAAACACTACCACAGACTGGTGTATAAGCCAAGTGCCAATCTGCAGGAAGAAATAGAACTATCGTGCAAACTCTTAATACAGTCAGCCTGCACAGATCATCCCCTCTGTCTAGGCAGGTCAGGAGGTGTCTGATGACCCGCACCTCCTCCCCCAGCACCCGCCCCCGTCACCAGGAAGTGGTGTCTCAGCTGAAATCCTGAGGTTGAGTAAGCACTAACCAGGCGACAGGGTGGGTGAGAAGAGAGAGGGGAGGTGAGTGATTTTTCTAAGAAGAAGCAACTTTGTGCAAAGGCCCTCAAGGAAGCAACATTGTGACTGACCTTACAGAGGAACTGAAAGATGGCTGGAAAGGCCGGTCATAAGGCTGAGGGGCTGGGCCCGGACCACGGACCACGGGGCTGGTTTAGATTTGTCTCTGTGTGTTTTAATAAACTTTTTTTAAAGACTGAATTTACATAAAGGTTGCAAAGGAAATACAGAGTCCCCGAGTGCCCCTCCCCAGACCCCCAGGGCTAGCACCGGGTGTTACCATGGTACCCACGTGTCCAAGCTAGGAAGCCAGGGTCCGTACGTTGCTGCCAAGCAAACCCCAGACTTCACTTGGGTTTCTCTGGTTCTCCTGCTGATGCCCGTGCTCCGTCTCGGGGTCCCACCCTGTTCAGCTGCGCTCATCTTGACTCTGTGCTCATTTCTCAGACTTCCCTTGTGCTTTGATGACCTTGACAGTTTGGAGCAGTGCCGGTCAGGTATTTTGTGGAATATCCCTCAATTTGTGATGGATGTTTTTGCGGGGTTATGGGTTTGGGGAGGAATACCCCAGAGATTAAATGCCCTTTTCATCACATGATACCGAAAGATACATGCCATCAGCGCACACTAACTGTGGTTGCCTGGCTGACACAGTAGGGGCCAGGCCTCTCCGTCACGGTGTGGTTCCCCCTTTCTACACTCTGTTCTTTGGAAGCAAGTCACTAAGTCCAGTCCACACTCAAGTGGGGAGGGGAAATGACACAGAGTTTTGGCGAAGAATCTGAGTTCCTAAGAGTAATGAAGAACCACTGAATGAGTTTAAGCAAAGGGGTGACACTGGATTTACTTTTCAGATAAGGACGCTAGTTATACTAATGAGGCTGATAATGTACCAGACGGGGTAGGCACTGGACGAGGGTGGCCTGGATGGAAGTAATGGTAGCTTGGATGAGTGTCAGAGTTAAGGAGCTAGAAGGAGAGACATGGATGGATGAAGAGATACTTAAGAAGTGAAGTTGCCAGGATTTGGTTAATTTTTGGTTGAAGAACAGGAATAAAGGTCAGCAAGGTTCGAGGATGACTCTCGCAAACCTAGTTCATGATTTGAGCAGCTGGTTGAATATCAACAAGGTTGAAGGCCAAAGGACACGCTAAATAGGCAAACAGAGCCGCCGAGGACCCCCAGGGGAGGCAGCCCCCGAGCTCTGGGGGTTTTGTTACTGGACAAAGGCCTCCACTGAACCCTGGAGGCTCTGTTTTCCTGGGCGTCCCTGGCTACTCTGGAGGGCTCTATGTGCTGGGGAGAACCCTGTAACAAGAAAAGAGCCTTGTCTAGTTCAGTACTGCATCGACTCTTGGGGAAGAGGGTCTTCCTCGTTTAGTCCAAATCTTTGAGAACACGGTAACAACTCAGCAGGCATACGCTGCGTCTCCATCAAGGACTGAAAGCACTGGCACTGTGCGTGCACGTACCCGCAACAGTAGGGATGCTGCTGCTTAGATCTCTGAATCCCCAGAGAACTCTGTGGGCGTGGGGTGGGGCCTCATGATAGTCATCGCCATCCGTGTCCCCCCAAGTCTGTTATCTTCGGAAGCCCTACATCATCCCAGGCAGAACTCAGGAGGCTAGGAGGAACGCAGGGTGCGCCTGGCACGGCAGGATGAGCTCGGGTTGTTCACAGGGCAGGTGGGCCGTGGAAAGCCTTGTCATAAGAATAACAGAAAAAGAATCCTTGTAAGAGTGTTGTAAGATTCTGGCTTTTACTTGGAGTGAGGTGAAAAGCACTGGAGAGTTTTGAATAGAGAGGTGCCATACTTACATTTGTTCCTTTTTCTTTCTATTGCAGTATAGCTAACGCACAATGTTACGTTAGTTTCAGGTGCATGACATAGTGATTCACCTTCTCGATAGGTTATGCCATGCTCCTCATGGGTGTGGTCCCTGCCTGTCACCACAAGGCCTGTCACAGTGCCACGGACTGTATTCTCCACGCTGCACCTTTCACCCCCGAGACTTCCTCATTCAAGTTCTCTCACCTTTTAAAGGACCCCTGGAGCTGCATGTTGGGAACACACTGTGGGGGGGGGCAGAAGCAAGAAGACCAGTTAGGGGGTTGCTGCAAAACCCAGGCAAGAGATTTTAGGTGTTATGGATCAGGGTAGTGGTAATGAGGATGATAATAAATTGCTGACTCGTGTGTGTATTTTGATGATGGAAGCAAACAGTACTTCCTGATAGGTTGCATTTGGCATATGAGAGGAAAGGAGTCAAGAGCCTAAAGGATTTGCCCGAGTGGACGGAGAGATGGCGGAGGGTACAGGGGTTCCAGCGTTAGGGAGCAGTGACAGGTATTTAGATTTCACATGATGGAGTTTGATATGCTTGTTAAATATCCAAGTAGAAACATGTCAGATCAGCAGTTGAACATCTGAGTCTGGAATTCAGGGGAGAGGTCTGGGCTGCAGGCGTGAACTCGGGGGCCGCCAGCGTGTGGTGGCCCCGTAAAGCCAGCTCACCACATGGGATACCTGAAGTGCAAGTGTAGGTGTGGGGAGAGAGGGGAGCCGAGCACTGGCCGGGGTGCCTCGGTATTCGGGGGCGGGCAGCCGGCTCGGGGAGACGAGGAAAATTCACTGAAGGACATGGGGAGAGCGGCCAGTGAGACCCGTGTCCCTGAAGTCCTCTAACAACATAGAGAGTCATCTGCTGTGTCCGGCGCCATCCTGCCAGGAAACCTGAGGACTGGGAATCCATCCATGACCTTGCTCATGGTGGTGAGAGTCTGATTGATACTAGGGTCCAAGAGACAATGAGAGGAGAGTTTGGAGAGCAAGTATGGACTCTATTTTGAGGAGTTTTTCCATGAATGAGAGCAGAAAAACAGGGTAGCCACGGAGAGGTGGTGTGTTTGGTTTTGTTTGGTTTTACATTAAGGGAGGCTGAAGAGATGTTCCTGCAGAGGAAGGAGAGAGGTCTAATCCACAAGTGTAGGGCTTGGCCTCCCGATACATGGCTCCGCAATCACAACAGGAGGGGAGAAAAATATACTGATACAGGTGCACAGGAGGCATCCAGAGGTGGTGGGCAGGGCATGCGGGAGTTCTCAGGCAGTACCAGCAAAGTCAGTGGGAATGAGAGTGTGTCAAATACTTGTGTTGCAAGTGTCTGTAATAGATGCTTCCTATATATACATTCTTCAGTTGCTCAAATAGCAGGGTCATGAGCCTTGAGCTTTAGAACAGTTCCAGAAAACACTGGTCACGGGTTTGGTTCTCCTGGGGGCCAGTTAGGTTTACTCCGTTAAAGCAGCAAATCAGCGCTAGGCTCAGTCAGCTGTCTTGAAAATCCTGCCTTCCTTCCTAAGGCAGATGAATCAGAGAAAACCCACCAACACCGTGGGGAAATGATTTAGCCATGTCCATCCTGACGCTGTATCCCTAATAGCACTGTCCATCAGAGATAGGCACACCGAGTCAGCGCCTGTAAAGGAAGGGTTTACATTCATGCTCCATGGAGTTACCCAAGGCAGCGTTTCCCTGTCAGCAGCTTGGCACCCTCTGCAGAAAGTTTCCAGATCCAAGACAGCGATGACCAGTCGAAGTTAGGGCAGTTCTACGGGGAGGAGACGCATAAAGGGGTGAGGGGTACAGACGCGGGAGATGAGGACACCCAGCTGGCTATTGAGGACGTGCGCCCTCAGTGGGGGCAGCAGCTGCACCCCACTGGCCTTCACACGCAGGTCCAGCGTGTGAACGGGATGGGGAAGTTGGCATCTGGGCGGCACCGCGGGACCAGGAGGAAGTGTTGCGGGAAGAAGAGGTGCAGGGCGGCAAGGGCCGTGTAGCTTCAGGGCCGGCGTGACTCACCCACCCAACCCCATGAACATGGGCAAGTTTCTCCCTGCTTCTAAGTCTGTTTCTAAGACGGGGACAGCAGCCGCTTCAGAGGACCAGCATGAGATCAAAGGCGGTGACTCTCTGGAGATGCCAGCGCGTGGAGAATAGCCATTACTCTGCCGTGCTGTCGGTGAACCTGACGCTCAGCCCCTCCCCGGCCTCATGGGCATGACGCATTCCCAAACCAACTCACGTCCATTCATGTGTTTCTTAAGCGTTTATTGAGCTTTCACCTGGCTCTGAACTAGACTCTGAGATAGAAAGGTGAGCACAGACAGCCATGGTTCCTGCCCTCCAGGAGCTTGCTGTCTGTTGGGAAACAGATGCACTGATTTACAAATCACACAAATAGAAAACTCTAATTGAGATAGTGGTGTTTGGGGAGACTATAAAAGGAGAATTTAACCTTGTCAGGCAAGGCATCCCTAAAGCAGGGACCTCTGAGCTGAAATCTGAAGGGCAAGTAAGCCTGAACAGGGGACGAGGTAGAGAAGTGTCCTAAGCAGAGGAGACAACGTGTGAAAGTCTGCGGGAGAAGGTGCTGCAAACAGGCCAGTGAGGCTACCATGGGGGGCAGAGCTGAAATGCCGGGAGGGCCACCCACGCAGAGGGCCTTGCAGAGTGTCCACAGGCTTGCGAATGCAACCGCATCGTCCTTGTACATGACCAGGGGCACAAAGAATAGTGCTTCATGATTTTATTTGAGCATTCATAGCATTCCACTTTATTTTTTTTAAGTTTTATTTATTTTAGAGGAGAGAGAGTGAGTGTAGGGGGAGGGGCGGAGGGAGAGGGAGAGACCCCGTGACCAAGAGGTGGATGCTTCGCACCCAGGCACCCTGATAGTGTTCCACTTTAAATTAGTATTTGGGGTGATGTTATTTTTCCCCTTTTGTACTTTTCCTTAGTGTGCATCATTTATATGAGTGTTTATCATTTTTTTTGCAAAAACAAGAGCTTTTTAAAAATCAACTACATTGAGATGTGACGTATAATAAAATGCACCTGTTTTAAGTGAGCGCCTCTATGAAACCTGACAAGTGTATGTGTACCACCCCAGTGAAGATGTGGAACACTCTCATCATCCCAGAAAGACCTCCCCCGCTCGGTGCCCCAGCCCCAGCCCCAGGCTGCCACTCATCTGCTTTCTGCCACCGACCGTCAATTTGTCTTCTCCAGTTTCATGTGAACGACGCAGCACACGATGTACTCTTCTGTGACTAATTTCTTTCACTCCGCATGTTTGACATTTGTCCATCCCGTTGCGCAAGCCAACACCCCGTGCCTGATTATTGCTGAGTAATAGTCCCTTATGTGGACGTGCTACAATTTGTGGAGCATTTGGGTTGTGTCTGGGTCTTTCTGCCATTATGAATGAAGCTGCTGGGAATAGCGTGGACATGTTTTATTTCTGCTGAGTGGGCACCTAGGAGTGGAACTGCTGGGCCCTAGGGTCAGTGCACGTTTCACTTTAGAAGAAACTGTCATGCTGTTTCCCAATTTTACACCGTGCCAGTCGTGCATGAGAGAGTTCAGTGGCTCCACGTCTCCCCCAGAGCTTGGTGCTGTCAGACCTTTCCATGCGAGCCATTCGGGAGGGTGTACGCGCGCCTCACGGTGGTTCCAACGTGCGTTTCCCTGTGATCGGTGGTGTCTAGCATCTTTCCACGCGTACTTGGCCCATCTGCTTTCCTGAAGTGTACGTTCCAGTCTTCTGCCCATGTTTTAATTTTGTTGATGGTTGTGTTGTTACTGAATTGTAAGGGTCACATGTACTCGGGGTGCAAGTCCTTTGTCAGATGTTAGTGGGACGTGTGTTACCTTCCATTCTGGGCCTTTTGCCATTTTGAGTTTAACAACTTTATTGAGATATAATTCTAAATTGTCTTTATAGGAGTATAGTTTTTAGGTTTTTTTTTTTTTCTTTTCTGGTACAGTTTTTGTCTTGTAGCTAAGAAATCTTTACCAACTCCAAGGCTGTGAATATTTTCTCCTGTGTTTCTTCTGGGATTGTTATAGTTTTAACCTCCTTTTAGGTCTGTCATCTGTTTCACTTTCATCTTTGTGGGTGGCGTTAGCGAAGAGTTGAGGATCATAAACCCTCCCCTGTATTTTCTTAGTAATAAAACACACAGGAGCTGCAGTTTGAAAGACCAGGTCACAAACCAAGCCAGAAGTGTCCCTGACTTCCTAGCAGGTACTACTCTGTTAACAAGATCATCGTGGCATAAGAGCCAGGGTTCGGTTGCGCCCGGGGGGCCCAGTCGGTGAAGCGTTCCGACTCTTGATTCCCCTCAGGTCCTGGGATCGAGCCCCGCATCGGGCTCCATGCCTGCCTGAGATTCTCTCTCTGCCTCCCTCTCTGCCTCTACCCCCCACTCATGCTCTCTAGCTCTCCCTTAAAAAAAAAAAAGCCAGGGTTTGTCGCTTCTTGTGCAAATGTATTGCAGGTAGCAGTGCACGTCTTGTTCTGTCCACTCGTGACTCAGCACTCAGTTCAGATCCATGGGAACATGAAGCTAGGACTTCAGCCATAGCGCAGGGGGCCGGGAGCACCGAGGTACAACAACAGGGTAGAGGTGCTCCCTGTTCCGGACAGACACAAGCCTCAGGTGGCCCAGGTGGTTGGCCCTCAGATGTGATTTGATAAATCAGCCAAAGCTACTTCTGCAAAAAATGTTTCCCTACTGACTCGCCCCAGCACCCTAATCCACATTGTTAAGAATCACGGGGGACCATTCACTACAGAGAACGCACTGGTGGTCATCAGAGGAGGTGGGGGCTGATGGGGAAACGGGATGGGGATTAGGGAATACACTCGTCATGATGGAATGAAATACAATAGAATACAGAAACCCTTCCGTTCTGTGTGGTCCGCAGTGGCCGTGGGGAGCACCAGCCTGGGGCTGAGAGCGTGCATGTGTAATCTCTGCGCAGGCTTGTGCAGGAGACCTCTACTTTAGGAAGAGTGATTTCTGAAGGGGTTTCTTCAAACCAGCTTAAAAAAAAAAAAAATCACAAGGGAAGTGAAGCATGGATCAACTGAAATCCCCTGGGAGAAGGCGCAGAGCCTGAGAGCAAGGGGCTCCGGTTTCCTGAGGAGATCAGCTACTCCCTAAGAAAGGTAACACAAGCCCAGAGGGGACAGAGATTGTGACGAGGAAGCGTGGGAAGGTCCAGGACAAAGTGCGGCACTCCTCTCCTGTAGTCAGATTTCCTGGCCTAAAGTTGGAACTCAGGATGTAACAAAAGATAAAATTTTCTAATTTATGAACTTTTAAAAAAATGTCTTTATTTGGTGGGGGGAGGGGCAGAGGGAGAGGGAGTGAGAATCCTCAAGCAGACTCCGCACCGAGCATGGAGCCCAACATGGGGCTCAGTAGATCATGACCTGAGCCAAACCCAAGGGTCGGACGCTTAACCGACTGAGCCACCCAGGCGCCCCCTAATTTATGAACTTAAGGGGAAAGTTGAACGATGGCTCAACAATAAGCCATTGACCTAAGTGTCTTTGTTCCGACTACCCGAGTATCCTGCGTCTGTCGCTGCCGTGTATCTGTCCACTCTGAACGGTGGGCCAGGGAGCAGGGTCAGCGGGGGTGGGATCAGGGTCACGGGGGCCACCAGGGAGGACGCAGACTCGTCCCCATGCAGTCTCCACGAGCGACACGGAAAAATGACTTCAGGGTAATGAGCACACCCTCAAGAAAATCAGCCGCGGGGCAGAAACGGCATCCCCTTCCTGGCCCTCCTCCCCTCGATTCAATACCTGTCCCCTGTCTTGAGCTTCGCCCTTTTGCTCAACTCCCAGGCAGGACACAAATGACATACTGAGGCAAATATACAATTTATTCATTAAAACGAGAACAAAATTTCCGTAACATGGAAACATCGAGTTACATCACCAAAGTTGTTTATTTAGAAGTAGAAGTGTTGGCAACACTTTTTCTAAGAGTCAAGGAAACTAGGCAGGTTTCACAATCGGGAGTGTCCCTGTTGGCTGGTCAGTAGTATTGCTTCAGGAGAGAGAACATTTCACAGATCTTCCCTGTAACTTCCAGAAAAGTCAGCCAGCCAGACTTGGGTTCGAACTTCTTTACAAAGCCGTCCTCCTATTGGAGAATAAATTTCACAGTTTAAAAATCAGTGGAGACAGATTGGTGGGATGAAAAGCAAAGAAACTGCCACTTCACTAAAGCAGACAGTTGGTCTGGTCCGTGCCCACCCTGGTTTCCCCGGTCCATCCGCACCATCGCTCAGGGGCAGTGCCGTCGACAGAAACACAGTGCGAGCTACAGACGGAAGCTCAAGTTTGTAGCAGCCACATTTTTTTAAAGTAAGAGGAAATATGTAAAACCAATTTAAAGAATATATTTATCTAAAATATGATTTCAATAGATAATCAATATGAAAATTATGGAGCTATTTTACATCCTGTGTACCCAGTCTTTACAATACACTGTGTGTTTTGCACTTAGAGCCCATCTGAAATCACACTAGCCACATTTCAAGTGTTCAACGGCCGCATACTGGACAGCACAGCTCTGGAAGATAGAAAGTCCCATTTCTTCTCATTTTCGGTTGTCTGACATTGAAATATGCCTTGATGTTTGTAACCGGAATGAGGGCTCGCGATAAAGCCAGACACAGCAGTGCCTCGGAGCCCATGAAGAGGCTGTTGTTTCTATTACGATTCATTCTCTTTCTGATCATAGTTTTAAAACAACAGGGTGTGACAAAGATACAAATGTAGGGACCCGAAGGGGTACGTGCACCCCAATGTTTATAGCAGCAATGTCCACAATAGCCAAACTGCGGAAAGAGCCAAGATGTCCATCGACAGATGAATGGATAAAGAAGATGTGGTTTATATACACAACGGAATATTATGCAGCCATCCAACAGAATGAGATCTTGCCATTTGCAACGACGTGGATGGAACTGGAGGGTGTTATGCTGAGTGAAATAAGTCCATCAGAGAAAGACATGTATCATATGACCTCACTGATATGAGGAATTCTTAATCTCAGGAAACAAACTGAGGGTTGCTGGAGTGGTGGGGGGTGGGAGGGATGGGGTGGCTGGGTGACAGACATTGGGGAGGGTACGTGCTATGGTGAGCACTGTGAATTGTGCAAGACTGATGAATCACAGATCTGTACTTGTGAAACAAATAATGCAATAGATGTTAAGAAGAAAAAAAAAGAAGAAGATAGCAGGAGGGGAAGAATGAAGGGGGGGAAATCAGAGGGGGAGACGAACCATGAGAGACGATGGACTCTGAGAAACAAACTGAGGGTTCTAGAGGGGAGGGGGGTGGGGGGATGGGTTAGCCTGGTGATGGGTATTAAAGAGGGCACGTTCTGCGTGGAGCACTGGGTGTTATGCACAAACAATGAATCATGGAACACTACATCAAGAACTAATGATGTCATGTATGGTGATTAACATAACAATAAAAAATGTAAGGATTAAAACAACAGGGTGTGAACTGTGCACTGTAATTTATGACGATAATTATAGAGCATCCTGACTGCAGAGTACCTCTGAGATCACCCAGCCTAATGCCCGCTCTCATTTTGGCAAACAAGGAAACTGAGGCCCCGGAGAAAGTGAGTTGCCCGGCGTCACCTAACTTCTTAGTGCCTGGGCCTGGAAGGGAATGCAAATACCGTTCTTTTCATTCCATGAGCTTCCAAACAACTACCCAAAGGATTAGAAAATTGTTGGAATAATATTTTTAAGTGTTGCACTTAAGGACACAATGTCCTGGCCTAACGGGGGGAACAGTCTGCTCCCTCTCCCTCCGGACTTACACATGCACACGTTTCTCGCTCTAGGTACATGTGCCCCTCGCTCCTTCCCTTCCCAGGATTTCATGAAGCCCGTGGTAACGGGGCACTGTGAGATGGCTTCTGTTACCACGACCGTGATCACTGTCTGTTACAGCTGGGCAGTTAACATCTCACATACATTCCGCTTTTCCACCAAAGAGAGCAGACAAAGGGGAAAACTGACAAATTCAGCTCTAGGAAGATTAGAGGGTTTTTAACTATAAACAGCTAAAATTATAAGGAGAGAATTCACAGTAGCTAAAACATGGAAGCAGCCCAAGCATCCATCAACTGATGAACGGATTATCCAGACATGTACATTCATATAGTGGAATGCTAGTCAGCCTTGAAAGAGGTTCCGACCCCCACTACACTGTGGACGGGCCTCGACCACGTGATGCTTAGTGAACTAAGCCCGTCACAACGAGACAAATACTGCATAATCCCATTTACATGAAGTACTCAGAACAGAATCATAAAGACAAAGTAGGACAGCGGTTGCCGCGACCAGGGGCGCAGGGACCGGGAGCGAGCGTTCAGGGCGCAGAGTCCTGCCGGCGGATGCTGGTGGTGCCGCACAGCAGAGCACGTACTCCGGTCCGAGCGAGCAGAGCAATGGTCTGCACACCGTGTCAGCCAGTCCGTCCCTTGTCAGACACTGATCATGGGGCCAGTCTGGAAGCATTATTTCTAAGAAGGAAGGCAACCCAAATGTCTAATAATTGGGAATTGGTTAAGTAATCATGATGCATAAAGTTGGGCTATTCTGCAGACGTTAGAAATGTCAGCATGGAGCCCGTGAGGCAGGGTTGAAAATATTTGTGAAATCACGTGAGAAACTCTTACTGCACCTTCATTCTAATTACATACGATGGATGCACGCAGACATGTTAGGGTGGTGGGAGTGATTTTTCTCCTTTCACACATATATTTTCAATGTATCTTAATACCATTACGTGGGGGCACCTGGGTGGCTCAGTGGGTTGAGCATCTGACTCTTGATTTCAGCTCAGGTCATGATCTCAGGGTCCTGGGATCAAGCCCTGCATTGGCTTCCGCTCTGAGCATGGAGCCTGCTTAAGATTCTCTCTCTCCCGATTCTTCTGCCCTTCCCCACCCTGCTCATGTTCTCTCACGCTCTCTCGTGAAAAAAAAGAAAATCATAGAGGAGAATAGATATAGAACTAGGGATTCAATATCCTGTCAGTAATGCAGTAATAAGCAAGGAGTGCCCAGATCTGGTTCTTTCTGGGAATAGTTTATATTGAATTCAGCTATCTTGGCTTCAAGAAAGCCTAAAGCATAAAATAACATCCTGCATCCATAATTCGAAGAAAACCAGACCCTCAGAATAGTTTAGATCGAGGAAAATACCATGGTGTTATTCCCATGCTTCTCTAGTGATTATTCACTCAGTTACTCGTTCGACAAATATTTACTGAGCATCGGCCACATGCCAGGCACTGGAACAGACTAGTGAACTGAACATGCAGGAGCCCTACGGAGACACGCAGTCCTGAACAGGGCACAGGGGTCGAGCGGTGGGAGTGCCATCAGAGGTGGGGCAGCTGAGGGAGACCCCCTCCCCCCCCGCCCCCGGGAAGGGCCACAGGGGACCATGCACACGTCTGGACGGAGGTCATTCCAGGCAGCGGCAAGAGCCAGTACAAAGGCCCTGGGGTGGGGAGGGGGGAGGTGGAGTGTGCTTAGTTATCCTGGGAGGCCGGAGCCAAGAGAACATAGGAGGGACTCCTAGAAAATGAGATCCGATGGGGTTTGAGTAGAGCAGTCAGGACTTCGTATTTTGTGCTTGCGCCCAGGGTGAAGGGGTGCCGGAGATGGTTCTGGCCAGGCCAGCACACGGCGGCCTCCGATCCGGCTGCCCCGTGGGGAGCAGGCCGAGGCGGGGCGAGGACCAGAGCAGGGAAATGGGACGGGCTACACGGACCGTCAAGAGGGAGACGGGGTCTAGGTGTGCTTTCAAAGGTGCTGCCAACAGGACTCACTGATGAACCTGACGTAGAGTGTGGGGGAGTGGAGGGTGACGCCCAGGGCCAGAGAGTGTTCCGGAAGGACCCACAGGCAGGCTCGAGTTCTGTCTCACCTCCCTTTTCACAAGATGATCTTAAATCTCAAGTTAAAATTCAAGAGACACACAGGAAGAATCTGGCCCCCAAATCTAATCCAAGGGTGTGAGGGACTCCTGGAGATTCCATCACTTCACGAAGAGCTCTTCGTGCCAACGGGACACGGAGTCGCTCGCGTACACATCACATCTCTGCGCGTCCTTTCGTGCAGACCACCCTTTAGAGCAAGAGGGTCATAAAACACCGCAGCAGACAAGAACTGCTTGTCCTTGCTCTTCCTTGGAAAGTACCAGCGCCACCCGTACATCCCCGCTTTCAGAGGGGCTTTCTGTGGGAGATTTTCAGAATGATTTATTTAAACCTCTTGAAATTAAAAAAAAAAAACAAAAACAAAAAAACACCTCTTGAAATTGCCCACATACGCTTCATAGTTGTATCGTATTGGACATTTTCAAGGCACTCTTACAGAAACGTCTTCAATCTTCTCGCCCCCTTCGAGGGTAGCCTGTCTTCCTCATGTTCGCATACAGCGTACGTTAGACCATGTCGTACGGCAGTCATCCCGTAAGGAATCTGCCTCTCGAGTCCCTGCCCTGACTCACTCAGGACCACACCTCTGCTGAGTGGCAAAACCAGGATTCAGATGTCCGTTTCGATGTTGTTTCATCCAGTAGTCCATCAGCCCATATTTGTGGGGTGCCTTCCGTGTCGCAGGCCCTCTGCCGAGCACGGGAAGGACCATGGGGCCCTGAGCAGATGCGACTCGCCCTGTTCCCGTGTGGCGCTGAGGCCTGAGTGTCCTTTCCGCTCGGCCAGCACAGGTGCAGGAGAGTGCTCTGTGGGGGAGGGCACCAGCCCCCTGCTCTGCAGCAGAACGAGCGGCCAGGGCTCCTCTCGGGTCACCCTTTCCTCCCCAGGGCTGGAGACGTCCTACCGGACCTGCTGGAGCCCCTCGCCTCCAGCCCTTCACATCAGCAGGGGGCTGGAGGAGGGAACAGCGCACCGGGGAGGGGAAGAGAAAAGTGAGAAGCGCCAACAAAAGAGGAGGAGAAGGGAGAGAGGAAGGGGGGGGGGGGGGGGAAAGGCACTCAAACTGATAAGCATGAGAAAGAACGCGTGGGGAGTTGACCAGTCACATGGCGGACACACGGGTCCTCGATGTTCCCCGGGGCCTCTGGGTTCCGTGGGGACTCCTGTCTGATTGTCGGGGTGTAACTCAGGAAGATTAAGCGTGGTTCACCAAGGAGGCAGCAGTACGACCACACTAACGACCAGAATCCTGACCTTGAGTTGGTTACTTGCCGCAGAAGCTGTTCTAGGAGCTTTATCTGTACCAGTGACTGGCTTCATGCAGACAGCAGCCCTGGGTGTAGATGGCACTACTCCCCCATTTTACAAATGAGGAAACGAGGCTCGGAGAAGTTCCGCTAACTTGTTCACGTCCCGGGGGCACGAGGAGCCGGCACCTGGAATCCAGCCCAGGTGCTGGTAATATCTGTGCCACCTCACGCACTGCCTTCTTGGCCCACAAGTTCTCAGGCTTGAGACGGCATGAAGTTATAGATATCCTCTGGTCGTCCGCTAAATGCTCGTCTCGCCATGCACTATAGGCCTGCATTTCTAATATGGAGCCCTGACCACGAGTCTGGGTGACAGCAGACAGGACAAGGACCCTGTGCTTCCAGATCTGTCATATCTGAGCAATTTTCACCAATTTGTAAATTTAGACTCTACAAAAGCAGCCGTGTGATCATGCCATTTGCCCCTAGACGAACGCTTCCTGTGTTAAGTTCACTCACTCGAACAGATGTGTCAGCATTTCTGGGAAGGTCTCACGTGGCCATGCTAGTGTGTGCTGACTCAGATCGGCACAGCCACTCCTTCACAGGACCATGGAAAAGCCACGTCCAAGGCCTAAGCTCTTCGGGTGCTCCAAGCCCTCCTAAACCGAAGGGCCCTGTGAACGCTGAGTGTGCGTGTGGGCACACGTGTGAATCTGTGTGTCACTCACGCCTGGGCCACCCCGGAAGGCAAGTCCACTTCTGGAAATCCTCAGAGACAACCCCACACCCCCTGAAGATGATGAGTTCCACGAGCTCACAGACTGTCATTGAGAAGCTGAGTTTTGAAGGAACATTCACCCATGTGTGTGACAAGTACCATGTGAGGCAGTGGGGGGCAGTCTGAGCCCACGGAGGCTCGCACGTGGGCCCCTGCTCTAGACAAGTGTTGCCTTCAGTGGAATCCTCCACCCGTGGCCAGCAGAGCTTCCCACAGCCGACCAGAGGAGAGCAGGACCCGGCACCCCCAGGCTTCATCCAGCTCCAAGTCCGTGCGAGTCAGGAAGAACAGATGCCCTGCCACGACACAGGAAGGGGGCAATGCCGGGCACAGCACATAAAACACGACCCCATCAAGTGTTAGAACATTTATAATAACGAGGGGCGCCAGACGGAGGAGCGTGTGAACTCTTGACCCCGGGATCGTGAGTTCGAGCCCCAAGTCAGGTATGGAGTTTACTTTAAAACAAAATTTTTAAAAAATAAATAAAAAACACAAATAAGATGTGTATAATAACGGAAGGCAGCTATGGTTTTAAAAGACAGTTAACATATCAGAAGATGTCTGCCACATATATAAAAAGAATAAACAAAAATATCTTTCATATATAAAAATATTTGAAAATAAAAACATACAAGAAAGAATTGCTACAAGTCGATGAGAAAGAGACAAAAAGTAGGAAAATGGGCAAAGACTGTAAATAGGCAATTCCCTGGTCAGTAAAGGTGGGGACAGGTGCTCAACCTCACTGGCAACCGACGAAGCAGGAACTAAAACAAGAGAAATTGGTCAGATTCTTCTAACCCAGCAGAGAAGGGAAATTAGGACAGATGAGCTGGTGTGGGGGCAGCCCTGCGGGGCCCCTCTGGAAGGCGAGGACCTGGTACGTTGAGAAATGGACATGCTGTCCAGCAGGGAAGCATGAACGGACATGCTCGGGGAAGTACTGTTTGTGGGGCAAAGTGGAGATAACCGAGAGCTCCCACAGCCCGAGCCAGCCAGACCCTCCACAGCACGTACAGACAACGGCATGTATGTAGGATTTTTTTTTTTCCATAGGACTCTTTAAAATATTATATATATATATATATATATTTTAAGAAAGGGAAAGAGAGAGAGAGAAACAGGTGGGGGGAGGGGCCAAGGGAGAGGGAATCCTGCGCAGGTTCCACGCTCGTTGCGGAGCCCGATGCAGGGCACGATCCCACGACCCTGAGATCATGACCTGAGCTGAAAGCAAGAGCCGGCTGCTTAACTGACTGAGCCACCCAGGCGCCCCAGAAAGCCCTATGTATATTTTCTATAGATGTATTCAATGGGCAAGATTTGCATGTAACATAGTTGATAATGGTGGGTACCTCCTCTCTAGGGAGAGAAGAAGTCCAGGCTTGGGGACTTGGGAGAGGATCCATGGAGACGTGAGTGCTTTGAAAAAGCCAGTGTTAGGTGTACTGGGTCTAGAGACGGGCTCTGCCGTCCAGCTGTGAAAAGCCCCTTCTCAATGACTTGTGACACAGCCCTCTGTACCTCCCACTCTGGGCTTTTCGAGGCTTTGATAATGAAGTGAATTGTTGGTTGGAAATTCCCGAATAGTTCTTGCTGGTGGTACAGCACATTATTTTTTTTTTTTTTATCAACAGGCTTTAATAGCTAGAATTTGTTATATTAGAAAACTGAAAAAAAAATCAATTTGTAAACCATGAACTTGCAAAGATGTACCTGTGTTTTGCAACATAATAACTACCCAAATATAACAGCATCTCATACCAACTCTGTTTACTGAACCTACGTTGTCATGACAGCCTGGCCAGAGCCAAGTCCCAGCCGGGTCCCCGTCTGCTGACGCGGACAGTGCAAAGGGGTGATGCTGCGTGGCTCCCCGAGTCTCACCCCCATCGCTTAACACCGTTAGGAATAAAAACAGCAAGCTCATGTATCTGCCAACTACAGAGCTCGGATTCCCTGGAAATGAGCCAGAAATGTCTTCTTGTTTTAAAAATGAGAACCTTTAAAAACAAGCCACCCAAAGAAGATAGTGGACTTTTAATAATTAGCAAGAAGCTGCCAATTCCTACGTCAAAGGTAAGAGCCGTGAAGAAGGCTCCCAGTGTACATACCCAGCCTCCGTTTTGCCTTATCCACTCTCTCATGTTTGTCGTGATGAACTCCGCCACAAAGTAAGAAATCCGAGAAGCAGCCACATCTGGGGAAATTTGTTCCCGGAGGAGCTTCTTGGTGAGAATGCCTTCAAACGCAAATATGGTCACAATCCGTCCCCAGTTAATGATGCCGTCTTCAAACTCCTTCTCCATGACCTGGTTGAATATGGTTCTGGCGGTGTCGACAGACATCACATCAAAACTGTCCAGGCACGGTTTCAAGTTCTTCTCGACCTCCCCCTGGACGGAGGAGGCCACATCCTGGAGCAGCCGGGACGCCCTGCTAGGGGCCGAGCCAGGCTGCGGGACCCGCAGGACGTGCCTCACGTAGTCCTGGGCCAGTGTCAGGGTGTACCCGAACTCGCAGTCCATCATCTTCCTCCCGCCCCACCGGCCAGCCGAGGCCAAATGAGGCGAGCGCCGGCGGGGCTGGGGTTGTGACTCATGGCGACGCGTGGAGGCTGGTGGAATTTCTGTGTGCATCACCGGGCTGGTCCTTCCTCCTCGTCACTCTCGGGTGTGGGCTGGGTGTGAAAGAGAAAGTTGAAAACGTGGAAGAGGAAAAACGGTTCCTGAGAGGCCACTTCCTCAAACTGTCAGTGATTAACTCGGGGACTTATGGGCTGAAGGCAGGACAGAGAGAAACCAGAACCACCCTCCCCCGCGGTGGGGCGGCCCGTGTGCAAATCCGACCAGTCCTCCAACAGATTCGTGCAGACTGCCATCCGAGCCCGCAATGCCACGCTCGCGGCCCAGCATTATTCACGGTGGCCAGATGGTAGAAACGGCCCAAACGGTGGTCAGCAGAGACCCGGCTGCCCCAGTCAGGGGCGGTTACCGGGCCGCAGCGGGGCGGCCCCACGCCGCGGGGACACACAGTGGGAGCTGTGCGTGTCAGCCCTGGAGCCAGCCCGCGGACCCCGGGCGGCAGGGGGGGTGCAGGGCTTGCTCTTACGGGTTGGAGCCTCACAGAGGCGGTGGTCTCAGGCCGCTGTCCCTGTACCAGGCTCTGCGGAATCGCTCGCGTTGAGATGGGTGGTTTTACGTTCTGCGAACGTCACCCGCACAAAAGGGTCAAGGCAGCCGCCCGGCTGAGCCGGGCTGGAGACCATCAGGGACGGAGCTCAGCCAGCCGCGGGGGAGCAGCCAGGGCACAGCGCTCAAGGACACCGTCCTGGACACTGTGGCCCTGAGCCGGGGCGGGGTGGGCGGTGGGGGCACCCGTGTACCCTGGAGCTTCTGACCCAGAGAAAACAAGCCCTTCCTTCTTGCTCTCATGTCATGTCAGAAACAGAAGCGCTGGCACCGGAGTGGCTCAGACTCACACACACGGGTCCCCTCGTCCCTCGACTGCCGCGTGCCCAGCGTCTGTGATGGGACCACGAGGACAGCCTCGCCGGCTGAGTGAGGTGAGCCCCGAGCCCTGGCTCCTCACCGTCCTAGGCTACGGCTCTTTCTACAGCCTTCCCTCCGCCCCCACTGGGGTTCTCGGTGCTCCCAGACTCTCCCCCCTGCCTTCCCCTGCTCCCAGCGAGTCTCTGGAACACCCGACCCCCTAAGGCCGGAGTCCTGAACTGGCGGGGGACCCGCACGGAACAAAGGGGCACATTGCACACATGCGCTAGGGCCCCTGCTGCACCAGGTCCCCGGCGACAGTCCTCCCGTGCCTGCTCCGCGACGTCTGCTCGCCCACAGGAGGCGCCTTCTCTCCTCAGAACCCCGCTGGGCATCACAAAAACCAGCAAAAGGATGGGACGTTTTCTCTCCCCAGTGGTGATGAGCATTCCTGGAGAAATAGTGTGAGCATTTGGCTTCAGAGCTGCAATCAGGCACTCCACGGTCAGGGTACACGGTCTCTCTCTCTCGCCAGTGCCCGAGCCTGCACCCGGGGGAGGCTGGTCCTTAATCTGTTGACTAAATGAAGTGCATTTCCATCGCAGCTCCCGCCAACCACATTCAGGCCTCTGTCTTCCTGGTCTGGATCCACAATGGTGTTGCTGTAAAAACTCTTAAATAGTGTAACCTGCTTTACTTTATTTCAGACTTCCCAGTCATTTTTCAAGAAAAGGTGGCAGAAAGAAAAAGTCTTTACCAAAAAAAATGATTTCTTTTTATGGAAAGTGCAGTGACTGAAGGGGGGTGTGGGGGGGGGGTGTGGGACAGGGGCACGCAGCCGGCCACGGACAGGGTGTGAGCATGGGGCGGGGGCGCATAGTCGGCCTCGGGCCAGGGGTGAACACAAAGGAAGGTCCTTTCTCAATGCCACCACAACCTGGGTCTGCATTCACCAGGGGCCGGCGTACAGCACAGTTCCCCATCCCATGCGTGGCTGTGTGCACATGGGGAATTCTGTATGAAATTAGGGCTCCACCCTGATACGCTCTGAGGGAGTCACCCCGAGTGGGTGGGGTTTGGAACCCGTACAGGGACGGTGTTAGGTGCTCGAGATACAAATGTCTGCCCCTAGAGAATATTCTGTCTACGACACACCGTGCTGTATTAGAGGCAGACAAAGAAACTGCAGGGGGAAGAATCAGAGGCAGTATCTGCAGCGTAGCTTCCAATATGGGGGCCCCTCCTGAGGCCACGGAGCCAGGTTTGTGGACACAGCACAATGCTGAGGTGCTGGAAATGCACCTGTATCACGCTCATCTCCAGTGGCCTGGGGGGCGGATGGATGGTGGGAAATGACAGATGACTTCCTAAATCTGTCCAGGCCGCACGAGCACCCGTGGCCTGACCGAGGTTTTCCCTGTATGCATCTTGTCCAGAAGCTTCTACTGAAGAAGCAGGAGGCTTGGCCAGGGCTGAGGGGAGTACCAACGTTTGAGCAAAACGATCGGAACAGTGTGAGTCGTCTTAACGAACGGTCACATTCCTGCACGTGGACAACCTCACACCCATTCATTGTGCTTACATGAGCCTGCACATCTGCCCACGGATGTTCCACTTATCTAGTGCTTTCTACCAAAGCAGCCCCCAAATCTTGGCGGCCAGAGCAACATACTCGGTCCTGGATGTGGGAGGTGGGCGGGGCTGGGGCATGGGGTCTGCTCTCTGCTCCTCGATGCCCGCGCTGCAGGCTTGGGCTCGTCCTGTACGGTGTCCCCTGCTCAGGTCCCAAGAGCAAGTGTTCCAGCCACGAACGCAGGCTATGAATGGCCTTTCCTAACCCAGCCGAGAGCTCAGAGCGCACCATTTGTGCCCTCCGTTACCGGCAGGCGTAGTCACAAGCCCGCAGCAATCCACGGAGAGGAGACCCAGACCACTTTTATGGGGAAGGAGGGTGTCAGAGAAGTTGCAGGTAGGCTTTAACCCTGCCACGGCAGGCCACGCACATGCGAGACCACTCACACGCACATGGGACTGTCTGGTCAGGGAGCCTCACGGCCCTGTGGGGTGGTGAGGCAAAGAGGCAGCTCGAACCCTGGAGGGACCCGGGAGGTGCTTGGGAGCCATCCCGCCCACCTGAGCTCCCACCAGGCTGCCGCAGGGCTGAGAACGCCCTGGCCCAGAACCCTCCGGGGACGAGGTTGTCTGGAGAGGAGCTCCTCTTACCTCCGCCCCGACGGTGGGGAGCTCAGTGTGTCCCCCGTCCCCCCACCCCACTCCGGCAGAGATCAGAGGGGAACAGGACGGGAGCCTCGAAGCTCCCAGGCTGCTGAGTGGCCGGGCGAATCCAAGCCCCAGGGCCAGGGTCCCAGGTGTGCGAGCTGGAGGAGAGGCTGCGGAGGTCAACTTCTCTTTTCCCCAAAGGCGGAACTTGGGTGGGAAACTGCTGGGGTTTTCGCTGCTTCGCAGGAGGTGGCTCGGGGGAACCTCCAGCCCCGGCCTACTCTTTAGCTGTGGCTGCTTCCCCTTTCCAAGGCCTTGGTCGGGGCAGACTGTCCACAGAAGGCAGCGGTCTTCACCGGTGACACCCCCGGGACACAAGGGGGAGTGGGATGTGCGTGAGAGGATGCCTGCGTGCCCCCGTCCTCCCCCGCAGTTCACGGGGGCCAAGCCTCAACGGTCAGGACATGATGTAGGCAAGTCGGCTCCTGGAGGAAAAGCCAGCGTCCCAATGTGACACGGCTGCTGGTGGGAGCTTGGTTTCCATCCGAGGAGACTAAATTTCCAGGAAATCCCCGGAAAAAAAATAAGCAGGTGGGATTCCCCCCAGGTCTCCTGCTGTACTCGGGAGCAAGGCCTAAGTGGGTGCGGGAGGGAGCCCGTAGGTCTGAAGCAAGCCTGGGAGGCAGGGAGGGAAGGCCTATCGACAGATGGGGCTAGTGGGGGTAGCATTTTTAACTAAGGTCGCAGAGGCCACGGGGGCGATGGAGGAGGAAAGAGAGAGGGGGGAAAGCCAGGGGGAGGTTAAAATCGTGAACGGTCCCACGTAAGACAGAATACCGGAGTGCAGCCTGGAATGCCGTGCTAGTTTGTCCTTCACAACTGTGCGTGCAGGCGTGTGCTCCGACCGGCCTCTCCCTACTGTCTCTGAATCTCATCTCACCTCGCCACTCTCCAGCCCCTGCCCCGGCTCTGTGCTGTGGCTCCGCACCCCCATCTTCAGGGCCCACGCCAGGACGCACCTACGCGCGTGCACCCCCGCCGGGCACAACAGCGCGTCTCCCGGCATGTCTCCTCCAGTGGCTACCAGGCCGTGTGCCCCCTGTGCTGGGCTCCGGGCGGGCAGCCCCCACAGGAAGGCGGCTGTCGTGCTCACCGGGGGTCCTTCCAGAGGGCCCTTGCACATGTGGCACACCACGGATGCTGACTGGGTTCTGTGCCTAACTTTGCCCTGCTGAGTATTTGACCAATGGCCCGAATCGCAATCGGACTGATGGCATGGCTGAAGCTAGATGAGTTCTTCTGCGAAGTTTTACTCAGCAACGAGAGAAAGCACAACGTTCTTTTCTGTCCCCAAATGTCAGCTTGGGGGAAGTACAAGAGGAGAGCCTATTTGAATGGGACCTTCAAGTGACTTTGGAGGAAGGGCTCAGACTTTCCCTGCCCTACACGGAATGGCAGGACCTACAACACAGACGAAGGAAGCAGAAGTGTGTTTGGTGATAGCAAATGAAACCGGGCCCCCTCCCTCCCCACTCCCCCCGCGAGCGTGGCTCTCCGAGCAAGGACTCAGAGCACCCCAAAGAGCAAAGCACAGCCAGCCAGCCACCCCGTATTCGGCCAGACGCTCCACAGACCTCACCGCAACCCTGCCACGGGCCACGCCCCTGCCACGGGTCCCGCCCCTGCCACGGGCCATGCACCTGCCACAGGCCATGCCCCGCGCTGCATCCAGGGGCTGTGGCAGGAGCACCGAGCTCACGGTGTAATGGAGCTTCACAAACCACCAGGAACTTCAGCTAAGAGCCAACCGCACAACAGGATGTGCCGATTGGCCGGGCCAGGGGCTGGGGCTCAGCGAGGAGGCTCAAGCCGGCTCCTGCCAGCCCTATGCACCCACCTAAACACACTCGGGTGGGAGCACAGAGAGGCTTTCTGATGAAGCTGAATCGCAGACTCAAAGCCATGTGGAGAGAA